ATCACCAGCACCTTTGACAGGCGAAGACCACCTTTAGTCAGGATAGCTTGTACTAGTTGTCCCCTTTCAAAATGGCCGTTGTTGGATCCCTTCCCGCTTAATATTTTGGGAGAGGACCAGGGCCCCTATAAATAGGGCTAGACACCACAGTAGAAGGCGACGAATCATTCAGTTCATCTACACACCACACTACCTCAAGAACACCTCTCTCGCGAGGTTGTTCTTCCCTTGTACTGTTCATCCTCAGCCCAAGAGGCAATCCACCACCACCACACAGGAGTAGGGTATTACACCATAATGTGGCCCAAACCTGTATAAATCTCGCGTCTCTTGTGTTGTGAGTTCATCGTGCTAGCTTAGAGATCGTGGAGAGGCTGAGGGTGTGTTTCGGTAGGGGGGAATCTTCGTGCGCACCCTAGTGTTCGAACCTTAAGGGTTTTTGCCGGAACCCAATATCCGACAATATTCTTGCTTGTTCTTCGATTGCTTGTTGGAATAGACCTTCGTGGTCAGATTGATCATGCTCCGGCTTGGTCAATAACCTCTCGGAGTTAGTTTAGCGATTGCTAAGGCGCAACGTCGTGCATGTTTGTAGTCGGATTGTCAAAGTCGACTCCACCAAATTGATAGTTATCATCTCATTGAAAGATCGGGACACCTCCACCTCTATTAAGTGGTATCAGTTTTCAGGTTGCTCGGTGAGAATATCGAGTTATCCCTAGATTCAATTTATTTTCTTACCTATTGTCCAAGAAAAAGCCACAAAAAGTTAGATCTATTCCTCCTTTGTCCTAGTCAGTCTGAGCCTTTGCAATTTTCTTTTCATTGTTTGCATTATTAAATTATCGGTTGCATCGCTGTGTCGAGTTGCTGGTCTTAGTGTCTAGTTCCTTTAGAGTTTCGAGTTCTATTCATATTAGGCACGCCGCCACTGCATCATTATCCCTTCCACTATCCACCATCCCATCCATCAATTTCCACCACGTGCTATGCACTATTCATTGTCATAATCATAGTTGAGGTCATTCACATCTTCGCCTGATCCAATCTGCAGCTTATCTAGTTTGTCTTGGAAAGAGGGAGAAAAAAAGATAGAGAAAAAAACAGAAAAAAAGGAAAGAAAAAAAAAGAGAGAAAGAAAAAAGTGTGAGAAAAAAAGAGAAAAGAAAAAAATTCGGATCTATCTAGAATCAATCTTGTACCTGAATTCGGATTGGAATCTGTTTTGCGCACTCTTCAGTAAAACAGGTGTATCTTCCTCATACGAATTCTGTTTTGGCTCCGTGAGTACTCAAATTAAAGCTAGCGACAAGCCACATCTAAATAGTTTCAGAAGAAAGTTCAATATTTGACACCTCAAAATCGGCTTATAAATAGGTCTTTTTGCCCTCCGAAGTTCATGAACACAGCTTGTTCCAATTTTTCAGGCCAGTTTTAGAATTCTTTGACTCCTCATATCAATTCGGAATTGAGTGATTATTTTTGCATTGGAAAGATTGAGTTAGTAGCATTCTTTGAAAATTTATCAGAAAATTGGCTCAAACTTTTAAAGAGAAAATTTGGAGAGAGAGTTGTTGTATATCCTGCTTGGCATTTGTTTTTCATCATTATCTTTACTGCCACTGTGATCTTCACTTATATCTTTCTATCTAGAGCTACTTCGTATCCTTTATTGATGCTAGTTGTGCTACGCCGTAACCTCATTAGTGTTCTAGGCTCGCGTCTCTAGTCCGGTCTAGCCTAGGACCAGCACAGTACCGTTGTTGAGTGTTTATTCAACATTGCATCTCTGAATTGATTTTTGCTAATTTTTTTCTACCAAATAATTAAGCCTTCCAAACTCCACATATTTTTACACCGTGTATACGTTCATTCCCCTGGCAATAGCTTTACTCAATCTTCGTAGTTATTTGACACCGCTGGTTTCCTGTCACCACCTGCTGCATGGTAAGAACTTGTAAGATGTTGATATTTGCTCTATATTGTGAGCGTTTTACCACCACATCCTAGAAGTTCATAGGAACATTATTCTCGGATTTTGTTTCTTCTTTTTTACTAACTATGGCAGGTTCTAGAGTTGTTAGTTATTGGGCTTCATCGATCGTGGGAGATTTGCCATCACCTAAGAAAATACAACAACCGTCACCAGAGGAGCAAAAACATCAGAATGCACATAATTAGGTTAATGTTTCCATGCCACCATTTACTAGTCGTTTTAGGCCTGATTTATATATAGAATGGGAGTACGAAATAAATGCTATTTGCTCCACACTCTTTTGATGAGCATGGAAAATTTCAAGCTGCGGTTAGTACTTTCAGTAGCTTTGCTTTAGTTTGGTGGAGTGAATATTGTTGGTTAAACCCTGATTATATACCTACTACTTGGGATGGTTAAAACATGTCATGAGAGATAGATTCAACGACTTTTATTATATTCATGGCATGATTAAAAAACTATAACATTTAAAACAAGGTAGTGACACCGTAACAAAATATTATGATGATTTACAAACTACCTTGTTGCACTCATTTATAGAAGAAAGTGAAGAAGATTTTATGGATAGATTTTGGGGAGGATTAAACCATGATATTCAGGAGATACTAATTCATGAAGCGTGTTATCCTATGGACCATTTGTTTCGTCTTGCTTGCAAAGCTGAACAGGAAATAAAACAACATGTTGCCCACAAGGAGAACAAGCGCACGTGCATATTCCAACTGTTGGTATAGATGTTTCTTCAACTACTAGGCGTACTATGACAACCACATTCGTTGTTGCGAGGACTACGTCATCTCCACCATGTGACACATCACCATCGAGGGTGCCTGCATCATCTGAGTTGATCATAAGAGGTAATGACAAAGGTATGCATTTTCCACTTTCACATGAGAATGATGCATGGCTAGTTAACTTGAATACATCATGTGTTAAGTTACCTATTGATTTAAGCACACCACCTATTTTAGAGACTCGTGTTACTGTCATGAATGCGTCAAGTGATCAAACAACTAAAATACCAACAATTTTGAGTGCACCCATTAAATTAACTGTTGATGCAAAAGAACCAATGTTTAATCATTTTGAAATGACCTCTAATCTTGGTGATGATTCTGTGTCAAATGACTTATTTCATGTTTGCTTATTTAAGCATGTTGTAGCATGTAAATTTGATTCAAGTAAGATTTATTCACCAATGTTTGGATGGTTTAATGATGAACATTGTCAATCCTTTGGTATGAACAAGAGCTTCACTTATATGTGCAAATTGAGTTGAAATATTTTCATTCTTTCTAATACCTGTGACAATATTTTGGCTTTACATTTTATGAACTATGAAAGTTACTCATGTATACATGTGTCATATGTGCAAAAATTAAGGGAAGTAAAAATAGATAACATATACATATAAAACATGTACACCTTGTCTCTTTTGTTAACCACATTTCACAATAAGCAACGCCGAGGACGGATTTGTTTTCAAGAAGAGGAGGATGATGAGGACATGACTACCTTGGATATGACCAAGAATACTGCATACATGTATATTTGTGAGGTGATTTCTAATGCAAACTATGCAATAATTTATTTATGTCATCCAAGACAAAAATACTTCACAAACTTTTGTGCCATGTCTATTTGCAGGTGTATGGGACATTTGTACAATCCATATATGAATATAAGGGAGAAATAGATGTTTACTTGTTGTTCAAAAAGTTCTCTCACGTCACTTTTGGCCCAAGAGAAGATAGAGTCCAAGTCTCTCACGTTCTAGACTCAGATTCGGACTGCACAGACATACCTGACCAAACCGTCAATAACTTTTTCATCCGGACTCCGAATTGGGTGATTCTTTTGTTGTTGGAAAATAGATTTCGTGCACTTTCCAACCCAATTGGATTCACCTTTATATTTGTCCCGAGCATTGAGTTATGGACAAAACAATCTGATGCTGTAGCAGAATCCGAGTCAAACTACAAGTCTAAAGGTGCACTACTAGGGAAAAGGCTACTAGCAGCGCGGGTAAAATGGCTACTAGTAGCGTGGGTACTCGCGCTACTGCTAAAAGTTAGTAGTAGCGTTGGTCGAACCCGCGCTACTACTAACTTTGTTAGTAGCAACGTGGGTTCAATCCGCGCTACTCCTATTGTGAACCGCGCTACTACTAATGAAATAGTAGTAGCGCGTCTATAGTCCCAACGCTACTAGTATCCTAAATACTAGTAGCGAGTGGTTTGTTCCCACGCTACTACTAACTTATTAGAAATTTAAAAAAATAAAATCAATCAATTCCGTTCTATCACACAATTGACGTATCTACTAACACAGTTCCTCATTGTAATGGCAACTCGTGTATAATTCATATCTTTTACATAAGTAAGATTGTAAACACAGTGTTGTGTGTGTCAGCTACCTACGTAAGTGATTCTTTCCATGCAAATTCAAAACTTCACCACTACTTCTAGACGTCGGAGACTGAGATACGTTGTTATGGTCCGATCCAAAAATTGGCTCACTCGTCGATGTGTGGCGCCTTCCCGTCCTGATCTCGTGGCCTACAGCTGCGACGAAACACAGCGAGCAGCCTCGACGAGCCGCACTTGACCGATGGCAGCCGCCGCCTTGAGTTGTGACGCCGTCATGTCCCTCGCCCTAGCCCTCAGCTCAAGCAGGCCCCGATCAATGTCGGCCTCCGCCCTTGAGTTGTGACACTTCTGTTTATCATACTTATCCTGAAAAAGAACCCAGCTAGCTCATCTTAGTTACTAGTGTCAGAATGTACTGTAGAGCAGAATAAGCAGAGAACATGTTGGCTAAATCAAGACATTCTTAAGAACCATCATTGCCTAGTTAGCTAGATATCACAATGCAATAGTGGTGTGAAAATTCAGTTAGCAACATGAGTGTACCTTCAGTGACCGACCTCCTTCTTTAACTTACTATGTTTCTGAACCACATTCTCGTAGGTGTCCTGTAATTCAACAATGCAAAGGTCATATATTTACTTGCAGCAAACAAATGATTGACTATAATAATGTAGTGCAAATATTGCCTGGCCACTAAGTATTGCCCTGCCATTCTCCTTGACAGCATCTGCAGCTTTCCTAAATCTCTCATATCCCTGAAAATTACACCAACAGCACAATTAGTTAACCATCTGAACAACCACAAGAAAGGATAGTACGTATTATGATGGTTCTAAGAAAAGAACGGTCAACTAAACTTCAACTGTAAGATTTCTTAGTCTCTGTTTCTATGTATGAAACAAAATGCAAAGCACCTAGTAGGAACTACCCTTAAAGTATAAGCATGATAAACAGAATCATGCCCATGTGGAAACCAAATAAATTGGATTACTAATGGTCATTTCAAAGAAAAGGTGAGACACTTTATCGTGTATGCTAATTATTGTGATTGAACTAAGCTGATGTAAACCAGGATTGAAACAATACACTAGATATGTTCCTTAATGCGTTGCCTCAAAACAAGACACTACCTGGTTACTCAGCACAACATGTTAATATATTATATATATAAAGCGTTTAGCAGTATCCCACGAGCAAAACAGCAGTACAAAAGATACAAGGTACGAACTGGCCCAGAGCCTCTGGCAACAACGGAAATTTAGGGTATCTGATAACAAACTAGCTAGATTACTTTGAGACTAACACATGTTTACAAGGATAAAACAATTAAGGTTATCTGATAACAAACTAGCTAAATTACTGAGACTAACACATGTTTACAAGGATAAAACACTGCCTAACAGTGTGCAAACACTCGGATTTGATTGCAATGAAATTACTTCAACAAACATCACTTGGGCCAAATTGATGTCACTGATATGCAAATACTCCTGGCAACCAATATTACCTTCGCTAGAGTGTTCTCAAAGCTTGCCTCCTCTTCTTTAATAATAGCTTTAATCTTCTTTTCATTGTCCTTCAGCTCAGGAAACACATCACCCATCACTCGGACAAAAATGTCTACAAGGATGTACAAGAAAGATACAAAATAATGGCATATCAAATACCAGCTTCAAGAACATAGTTTAAATTAGCTAGAATCCTGTGTGACATAGTTTATTTTCTTGTTGTCATATGACATCTCTACAGTCATCCTCATAAGCTAGCATGTAATCTTTGAACGTGGATCAAAATGAGATTTTAGGCTTTGTCGGCTTTACCATGATCAGTACTAAATTCTCTAGGCTGCTCAACCTTTCCCTGTAGGGACTAGGGAGCATTTCTTTCACCGGGTATCTCATTCTTAAGTTTGGGAAGAAACCTGCATCCCTTCAGATAGTCATCCATATCCTGAAGAAAAAACATTATACATTTTCAGTGACTCACAATATATCATCAAATACTGCTCAGGTTTACTTCTAAGAATAATTGTTAAAGATCATCCAATGTTTTCTAACGATCTTCCACTCTGTGAAGTAGAAGCAAAAACTGAAAGCTAAACACACACTAAAATTACCTTCATAAAATTCTTCAGATAGCGAATGAGAGATAGACAAAAAATATATACTTCAGATAGCAAGGAGCACTCCAACAGGCAACAACATAAGTTTTTTAGCAGCGGCGACAAGTAACTACGGAGACATTGCAGGTGAAGAGATGAAATATGGATACCCTTCGTCCCCGACGAGCAGACTTTGTTGACAGCGGTCCAAGGTACAGTGTTGGGCAGGCGACGCGGAGAGAGGCCTGCCTGGCCAGGGCCTAGCCGAGCTTTGCGCTGAGGACGTTGCTCATGGACACCTCCTGCACCAGCGCCGGGGTCGATGTTGACTCTCTAAAGAGCTCCATTTTAAATTGGGCGGCAGAGCATCACTGACTGGGTGCTCGGATCGAACTACCATCTACTTTGACCATCCGAACCACATGTGACAACAAGACTCATCCGATCTTGTGTCCTCTACTCAATGTCATGAGATATTAAGATCCAATGTTATTTGTCCAGGTCTACTACCATCTACTTATACTAATCAAAAGGCAAACCAATCCACTTATGCCCAGCCTGCAGGACTAAACTTGTACTCCTAACATTGGGGCTGTAATATTTCCACAAGCGTAGATGCATGACGCACAAACAATAAAAATATACTTGAGAAGCCAAAATCATGAGGCGTGGTTTAATGCATATATTAAGAAATAAAAGGTAAAAAGGATAAATTTTCCCCTAGAGTTTGTTCGTTCATGGTGGATAAACATACATAAATGAATCTACACAATCCAATTCAACAACACAGTTCAGTGGTATGATGATAAGAGCAATGGCATGCTAGACTTAGTTTATTGACGCTGCTCCCACCCACATTCAGTTTGGCGAGCAATGGCATGTTAGACGAGCGTAAACAAAACACACTGGATGTTATATCGATGACGAGGGCAAAGGATAGATGGTCAACCAGGTCAAGAAGGCACTGAATAGTTCCATTAAGATGATAGTGTGTGCATTTTGAATTGGCTACAATTTTTATGGGCAAATAAAAAACAGAGGAATTATAATTTCTGAATTCTGAATTGAAGGAGGAGGTGAGAATCTGAAGTGGCCTTACGTCTGCGTAGGGACTGTCTAGTTCCCTGCTATCATTTGTTCTTCCTTTTATTTTTAATAGATTTTCTCCTAGCCTCTTTTGTATATCTGAATAGTTTCCTGCTTAATACTCTTCTGCTGCTTTATGTATTTAAAAAAATATGGTTTCCTTGAATGGTAGATAAGAAGAAGATAAGAACTGAAGAAAATGGTACTGCAGACATTCCCCTAGGATTGAAGCCTGGCTTTGACCAAATTCTCAATCTTAAACTCGGTCACCTGAAAATTCACTGTAAACTAATCCGACAGAAAACTTCTCCTGTATATGTGGCTGCATACAGATAGAGGTCAGTACCCAACCCAATCATCCAGGACCTAATCAACGCAGCACCTGAAACAAATCCAACTAGGCTCAGGGGTTAAGCCACGCGACCTGAACACCAGGAACTAGATATCTACTAGGCCATATCAAGAACAGGGGGCCTGGCCATGTCCGAGCATGAATCCCGGACGGATCACAGACTATTGAGGTGAGGGGGTCGAGCACGTACGCATGTAGGAGGCGGGGAGTGAGCCCCAGACGGATCACGGATGATCCCCGCTCGCAGGAAAGAAAGCCAGCGGCGGCGGCAGAGGACAGGGGAGGAGGAAAGCCAGCGGCGGCGGCAGAGGAGAGGGGATGAGGAAAGCCAGCGGCGGCGACGGATCACTGACCAAGCACCGCCCTACCCCTCCCCCGCCGCTCCGGCGCCACGGCCACGCGCACGCTGCTACGGCGGGAGCTGCGGGGGAGCAGCGAGGAGGCGAGGGTCCGCGTGAGGGAGGCTGCGGCGGCGGCTTCCATGGGGATCGGAGCGGAGGAAGGCGGGAGCTTGGGGGAGTGTTGCGCGTGACCGGTGCTCGCCGGAATCGGTCGGCGTGGGTGGTGGCGGCGGCGAGAAGATCGTGGGGAGAGGAGCCGAGTCGGGGTGGGGTGGACCGAGGTGAGTTCGTGAGAGAGTTTTTTTATGGATGAGAGAGAGAGAGAGTGGTGGGGTGGGAGTGGATCGGGCCGGGTGGACACGCTTAGTAGTAGCGTCGGTTTTATACCCCTCGCTACTACTATGGTCTATTCCAGGGGCATTGTTGGAGACCACTTAGTAGCGGCGCGGGTTTATACCCCTCGCTACTACTATCAACTTAGTAGTAGCGCGGTTTTTATACCCCTCGCTACTACTAATTAGCAGTAGCGCTCACTTTTAAACCGCGCTACTGATAAACTTCTGTGTATAAGGTTTTCCCTAGTAGTGGTGTTACGTCACCTCCACTTGGGCCCATTGGCGTTGTACGGCCTAGGGCTAGTTTTAGGCTGCCTTGAAACGTCCTCCCACCTCCTTGGCCGACACCCCTTGCACCTATATAAGTAGATCAATCTAGTATCTTTTTCCTTTGGATTTGTTTAGTTAAAAGTTAGCCAACGCAACTTCGTGTACTTCGTTTGTGTCCAACGACCAAACCAAGACCACTTTCGGATCCCAACCATTATCAATACTTCATCCATATTCGCAATATTCAGATTGCTTTATCATATTCTTGCTTGTTCTTCAATTTCTTGCAGGAATAAACCTTCGTGGTCAGGTTGATCGTGCTCCGGCATGGTCAATAACCTCTCGGAGTTGGTTTAGCAATTGCTAAGGCGCAAGGTCGTGCACATTTGTAGTCGGATCATCAAATTCGTCTCCACCAACTCAATAGTTATCATCTCATCGAAAGATCGGGACAACTCCGCCTCTATCAAGTTTAGGGTTGACAAGTAGTACTAAAAAGCAGTTTAGTCCCCAACTTAGCTCATAAATATCTCCAAAAGTGGCTAAGAAATTTTGTATGACGATCTGAAATAATAGTATTTGGCACACCATGCAAGCGAATAATTTCATGAAAGAACAAATCAGCAACATTAATAGCATCATCGATTTTATGACATGGTATAAAGTGTGCCATTTTTGAGAATCTATCCACGACAACAAATATGCTATTCCTCCCCTTCCTTGTTCGAGGTCAACCTAAAACAAAGTCCATACATATCCTCCCGAGGAAGACTAGGTACAGGCAAGGGCATACATAAACCATGAGGATTGAGTCATGACTTAGCTTTTTGACATGTAGTGTGGCAAGCAATAAAATGCTCAACACCCCGTCTCATCTTTGGCCAAAAGAAATGTGTAGCAAGTACGTCCTCCATCTTCTACATGCCAAAGTGTCCCATTAATCGTCCTCCATGCGCCTCCTGCAACAACCAAAGACGAACTGAGCTAATTGGAATGCATAGCTTGTTAGCACGGAACACAAATCCATCATTAGCAATGAACTTGTTTAATGTTCTTCCTTCTTTAAAATCAGCATCATGCACATATTGATCTTTGATGGTCTCCAAACCAAATACTTTGAACTCAAGTTGTGAAAGCATCGTATAGCGACGAGACAATACATCAGCTATAACATTATCTTTACCCTTCTTGTGTTTAATGACATAAGGAAAAGTCTCAATGAATTCAATCCATTTAACATGTCTACGATTCAGTTTAGCTTGACTTTTATTATGTCTCAAAGATTCATGATCAGAATGTATAACAAATTCTTTGTGCCATAAATAATGTTGCCATGTTTCTAAAGTCCGAACAAGAACATATAATTCTTTATCATAAGTAGAATAATTCAGACTAGGCCCACTCAATTTTTCAGAGAAGTATGCAACAGGTTTGCCATCTTGTAATAACACACCTCCTAATCCAATTCCACTAGCATCACATTCAAGCTGAAAAGTCTTATTAAAATCAGGAAGTTGGAGTAAAGGAGCATGTGTCAACTTATCTTTCAATATCGTGAAGGCTTCTTCCTGTGCGGTACCCCAAACAAAAGACACATACTTCTTTGTAAGCTCATTGAGAGGTGCAGAAATGGTGCTGAAATCTCTCACAAAACGCATATAGAATCCAGCGAGGCTAAGAAAACTCCTCACTTGTCTGGCCGTTTTGGGCTGCAGCCAACTCTCAATAGTTTCAGTCTTTGCTTTATCAACTTCAATTCCCTATGGAGTAATAACATAGCCAAGAAATTATACTCGGTCAGTGCAAAAGGTGCACTTCCCAAGGTTACCCAAACAAACGTGCATCACATAGAGCAATAATAATAGCACGTAATTGTTCCAAATGTTCCTCCAAAGAACTGCTATAAATCAGTATATCATCAAAAAAGACTACAACAAATCGTCCAATGAAAGCACGTAAAACTTCGTTAATTAATCTCATGAAAGTACTAGGTGCATTAGTTAACCCAAAAGGCATGACTAACTACTCGTATAATCCAAACTTAGTTTTAAATGTTGTTTTCTATTCATCTCCCAGTTTCATACGAATTTGATGGTATCCACTACGCAAATCAACTTT